GTTGTCATAGTTGTCAACAAGTCAAGGCCGAACATCAAAGGCCGGGTGGTCTAACCCAAGACATAGAGATTCCTACTTGGAAGTGGGAAGAAATTAATATGGATTTTGTAGTTGGTTTACCCAAGAGTAGAAAATGTTTTGATTCTATTTGGGTGGTGGTTGATAGGATGACAAAATCGGCTCATTTTCTACCGGTAAAAACAACATATGGGGCGGAAGATTATGCAAGGTTATATATTCATGACTTGGTAAGGTTGCATGGGATTCCTCTATCCATCATATCGGACCGTGGTACTCAATTTACTTAACACTTTTGGAAGTCCTTTCAAAGGGGTCTAGGTATGAGAGTTAAGCTTACTACGGCCTTTCACCCGCAAACGGATGGACAAGCCGAAAGGACTATCCAAACACTTGAGGATATGCTTAGGGCTTGTGTATTGGAGCTTAAGGGTAGTTGGGATGATCATCTTCCATTGATTGAGTTTGCCTATAACAATAGCTATCATTCTAGCATGGGTATGGCTCCTTTTGAGGCTCTCTATGGGAGGCGTTGTAGATCACCGGTTGGGTGGTTTGAGGTTGGTGAGGTGGCTTTGTTAGGACCAAATCTAGTTATGGAGGCTCTTGAGAAGGTTAGGATGATTAGAGAAAGGTTGAAGACGGCCCAAAGTCGCCAAAAGTCCTATGCCGATGTGAGGAGAAGGGCTCTTGAATTCCGAGTTGGTGATTGGGTCTATTTGAAGGTGTCACCCATGAAGGGTGTGGTTCGTTTTGGTAAGAAGGGCAAGTTGAGCCCAAGATACGTGGGTCCTTATAAGGTAATGAGGAGAATTGGCAAGGTAGCTTATGAGTTGGAATTGCCTAGCGACATGGATTTGGTTCATCCAGTATTTCATGTGTCTATGTTGAGGAAGTGTGTGGGTGATCCGAATGCTATTGTGTCTCTTGATATTGTGGGTGTTGTTGAAGATAATTTGACCTATAAAGAGCTTCCGGTCCAGATTTTAGATAGACAAGTGAAGAGGTTGAGAAACAAAGATGTGGCTTCCGTTAAAGTCCTTTGGAGAAATCAACAAGTTGAAAGTGCTACTTGGGAGGCCGAAGCGGACATGCAAAGGCTATATCCTTATCTTTTCCACTCCACTCAAGCCTAAGGTATTGATCTAAGCCCTTTATAAAATCTCAGGTCTTAAGTTCAGCCCCCATGTCATTGCATACATTTATGTTTAAGTTGACAAGTTCATTGTGGTTTTACAACTATGTTGAGGTTTTTGAAATAAGGTGTAAGTGCATTGTTGCATCCTTATGTGGGCTGAAATTGCCATGTTTGTGTCCCTCATGTACGTTTCTTTAACATTCAGGGACGAATGTTCCCAAGGGGGAGATATTGAAACGACCCCAAAAATGCTCGAAAATGTGCTTCGGAAACACCTATAATTGTAATTTCCATATATCTCAAAATCCGTGCATGATTTTGGAAATTTGACTTCATATTCTTATTCAGGGGGTCAAATTGAGTGGGAAATGGGTCTAACCCGAATTTTAGAGTAACCGTATCAAAATTCAAAAATCGCAAAAAATGCAATTTGGAGGATCAACTTTAAAGAGACATATCTATTAGCACACAAGGAACTGGAAGGGCCACTACCTATTAAATTAAAGCCCTTTGAGTTAGCTTTCCAACGCACTTGGTTTCACCTCATTTCGAGTTAGGATGAGGGAGTTATGACCATTTTCGTAAAACCTGTCTGTGCAGATTTGCAATTTCCAGTAAGCTGTTTTTTTTAAAGCCTCATTTTTGAGGCTAAGTGTTGGGACGTTTTTTTTTATAAAAAAGGAATATGTCCCATACTTAGTCATATTTTTTTTCTAACTTCAAAACACTCAAAAACACTCTCTAAGCCCTCTCCAAAATTCCACCAAGATCTTCAACCAAATTCAAAGATCTCAAGCTCTAATTCCGGATTCAAGACTTAATCTCAAGTTTCAATTCTCCATTCCAATCTTCATCAAGGATTCTCCAAAGTTGAGGTATGTGGGTTTGATTGTGGAAACCTTCCTTTCCACAAGTCCAACCATTTATCCTCTATTTTACTTCAAGTTTATGGGTCCTTATGATTATTTATGAACTCTTGAAGTATGGAATTACTACTACACACCCCATTATGGTATATTTTGCATATTATTATGAAATGGAATTATAATGTGATGTTTATGGTTTTCATGCTTCCATGATCAAATTATGAAGGTTGATATATATATATGTATGTTGTTGGTGGGCTGATTTATATGGATTTTTAGAATTGGTTGGACTTAGTACTCTTGAAATGCATGATTTTATTTACATGAACAATAGTCCACCATGTGTTTGATAAAATGCCCACTTATAGAATTCTTAGGAAATGGAAGGTCCAATGTACGTCCTATGAGTCGGATGGTCAAATAATCATTGAAATGATGATGAAATGGATACATGTATATGATTTTCCCTATATAAGTGTTGTGAGTCGACCAAGCCTAGCTCGGGAGGTTGTAGGCCCGGGTAACCGTATCGAGGGGTTGGTACCTTGGTTGCCTAGTACAGGGGGTAGTAGGCCCGTATAACCACATCGAGGGGTTTGTACCTTGGTCCCTAGTTCGGGGGGTGGTAGGTCCGGGTAATCACATTGAGGGGTTTGTACCTCTTTCGCCTCTCCAAGGGGGTGGTAGGCCTTGGAAATACTATATTGATGGTCACTCGCCACACATGTACTACGTCCCATTAAATATGATTTTTATGTAAGCATCATTATACATATTATCTCATCAATATGTTATCTATCGGGTATGATTATGCATTTTGCCTATGATGTCCATCTATTATTGCATTTCATTGCATCCCATATACTTAGTACATTCAAACGTACTAATGCATACTCTATGCCTACATGATGTCACCATGTAGGGACCGGAGTACCGCGTGACCATCCTCCTCCGCGTGGCTAATACGATTTTCTATCGAGGTTATTGGTGAGTCCTCCATTCCGGGGACGTTGCTTATGATCTTTTGCTATGTATAAGACTTTTCCTTTTTAGTTATGTTTTGACTATGAGGGTGAGCCCGGTAGTTTGTCTTGGCCCCCGCTAAGTACCCATGTTTAGAGGTGGTGTTGGACAAGTTGTGTATTATGCTTGAGCTTGACTCATCTATGGTATTTATGTATCATTTTTTTATTTTTTTTTGCTCCCTTAGTCCTGATTTCCCCCTTGATTATGCTTATCGCTTATGGTCATTTTAATTGCTTCCGCGACCAAGGATGTGTAATGATACGCTATGAGGCTTGTTTGGGGTTCCTTCGGGTTCCCCATTCGCCGGTCACGTCTAGGCCCTAGGCTTGGATCGTGACAATCTAGGGACTATCCTTTCCCTCATCAGAACACCAGAAGGTGGATAGATTATAAAAGACCTAAATATGTTCAATCATAACTTTTAATTCCTCTATAAGAAATGTCACGTGTAAGGAGACATAGTATGGGGTTTTTCTTCGTTTATCAGCAACATCATCATATCATTAGTATTAACATCAAACTTTAACTCACTTTTATTATCTCTCTTTGGCATAGTTGAAAAGTAAAGTGAGTTCAACTAAAAAAATAAAAAGATTAATGAGAGGCAACTTTAAAATTCATGGCTATACTAAAATAACATAATATAAGAGATTTAATGAAAACCTAATAATATTAATCATCTTCAGAACTCATCCGAGCCAAAAAGGGAATACTATACATGTATCATTTTAATCCAAATAAATAGCCACAAAATCCTATTGGTGATTGCAATATAACAAAAGTAGTACTAGTTTTGAACTAGAGATTAGATTCACTGCTAGAGGAAGGAAAGGTTTGAATGTGCCCCAAATAATTTTGTCAAAACAAGCAGTGACATCCTTTTGATCTTTCAATATTTTTTCCTGCAAAACTGCATAATTTTGACTCTAAAGAGGCATTCACATCAGCCTTCTTTTTGTTCACTATCATTCTCCAAATCATTCTTCACTTGAATAATCATATTGTTGTTCTTGTAGAGAGGGACCCTTCCATCAGAAGTAGAAATATTGTCTTTCATGTCTGCCATTATCTCATCTTATTTGAGTTTTCTGTAAGATTAAATACCTTAATACACATTAGGATCTTGAACAAAATAATCTTACATATAGATAGTTAGGGGCATATACCTGATGCGGAAGACATCATCATAGAGAGAAGCGGAAACATAAGTCGTAAATTGGTTTCTACCTCCTTGCCCCAGCCTTACGTTACCAGAACCGTCAACCATGAATTTATTATAGAGAATATGTGGTAACCCTAATGGGTGGAGGGAGGACCAATTTATAGAGATTAAGACTTAATCTGGTACGTCCATCAAATAAACAATGTACGGACGAGATCTATTGCTCATTGAATATTATTTATGGTATTACATGGGTCACAAGTAAATTTGGGCGATAAGTAAGAATTATTCTTACATTCTCCCACTTGGCCCAATGACCATATAACATTAATATTTCATTAACATTAGTTGCACATACAATAGATATCTTCTATAATGTCCATCATACATACCACAATATAACAAACTACTAATGTGAGTTATGGCGGTTGTACATAAATTATAAGCTACATACATCCTTATATATACCACTACATTAACAACTTATCATACTAGGTTCATAAGTTTTAAAACATATAACAATACGATCCCCAATAATGTCTTATAGAGACACATCTTGTAATATCTCAAAACAATAATGTATATACCAGTATGAGAAACAAGAGATTCATTAATGTATATCAGAAACACATAATTGAGCTTGGAGTGTAAAAGCATCATAAATGTATCAATCATAAGTACAACCAAGACCCATTCTTTGAACATGTTCTTTAAATGTCTTTGGTTGTAAGCCCTTTCTTAATGGACCTGCAATCATGAGATCAGTTCTAATATTCTCAAGTAACACTCTTTATTTCTGAGCTTCTTCCTTGACACTATAGTACATCAATTCCATATGTTTGGCACCTTTGGAGTACTTATAGTTCTTGGAGAAGAATACTGATGTAGTATTATCACAATAAATTTTCAGTGGCTTGGTAATGGTGTCGACAACCCTATGTCCTGAAATGAAGTTTCCCAGCCATAATGCATGAATTGTGGCTTCATAACATGCCACAAATTCTACTTCCATTGTGGATAGAGCTATGAAAAATTGCTTAGCACTATTCCACGATATCACTCCTTCAGCTAATAGGAATAAGTAACCAAAGGTGGACTTTCTAATGTCAACACATCCAGCTAAATCTAAATCTGAGTATCCAGTAACTTCTAAGTGATTGGATCTCCTATACATGAGCACGTAATCCTTCCCTTCTTTCAGGTACCTTAAGACTTTCTTTGCAACTTTCCACTGATCAATTCCACGGTTATTTTGATATCTTCCTAGCATTCCGACCACAAAACTAATATTCGATCTTCTGCAAGTTTGAACACACATCAGACTTCCAACAATCGAAGTGTAAGAAATTGTTTCCATTTCTATTCGTTCTACACATCAGACATAAGATGCCTCACACATATCTTTCATTTCAAAGTTCATAGAGAGAAAGTCTTCTGTCTCACGCAATATGCCTAAATCATTAGCAGCAAGTAAAATGTCATCATTATACAAGAATAAATATTTAAAATTACTCCCACTTATCTTTTGGTATGTAGACCAGTCAACGGTAATCTCTTAAAATCCAAAAGATGTTATGGTATCATTAAACTTTATATACCATTGTCATGAGGCTTATTTGAGTCCATATATTAACTTCTTTTGCTTACACACCACTTGATCTTTTCTTTTAATTTTGAAACCCTCTGGTTGGTCCATAGAGACATCCTACTCGAGGTCTCCATTAAGAAAGGCAGTTTTCACATCCATTTGGTGTAACTCTAAATCATAATGAGCTACCAAAGCCAAAACAATTCTTATTGAGTCTTTCTTTGAGACCGGTGAAAAGGACTCTTTATAATCAATGCCTCATTTCTGGGTGTATCCCTTGGCAACAAGTCTCGCTTTATATCGATCAATATTACCAATAGAATTGTGTTTCGTCATGAAGACCCATCTACACCCAATTCTTTTAGAAATTTCTGGTAATTGAATGAGATCCTAGACTTTGTTGTATTTTGTGGATTTTCACTCTTCATTCATGGAATCAATCCATTTATCAGACTCAGTGCTTTCTATGGCCTGTGAAAATGAAATTGGATCTTTATTAACTCCAATATCAAAATCTGACTCTTTCAAATAAATCACATAATCATCTGAAATGACCAATTTTATTTATTTTTGAGATTTTCTTAATGGCACTGTTTGTGGTTCATTTGCGTCAAATACTTGTGAGTTAGTTCCATCTTGAATTGTTTCATCCATATGTTGTTCAACATTGTTAAAGTGTTCTTCAACAAGAGGAACAACATTTGTTATTGGTGCGGAAGTATAAAATTGCTTTTATACCTCTTTGTGACCACCTTGTGAGACTGTGAACCTTGCTTTGCATAGTTTTAGCCTAGCCGTTTTCTTTGGATGAAACATGAATAACTTTGATCTCTTTGTCCCATCACCTATAATATTCATGAAGCATTGGTTAGTTTGAATAGCCAACTTAGGCCAAATGCCTATGTTGGGGGTGTGGTGAAAGAGGAGGAAAGTCAAGAAATTTGGGAAATTTTCCCCTGAACGATCATGTTGAAAAAGTTGGAACCCCTCCATGTAAAAAAGGGGAGAAAAAAAGAGATAATTATTGAAATAAAGTTAGTGAAATGGACAAAATAAATGGGGTATCCTTGCGTCATGCTTCAAAGAACGTAGGGGGGATTGTGAAAATAAAAAAGAGTGAAAGTAAAGGAAAAAAAGTGAAATTTAGGCCATGCTTCATGAAGCTAGAAGTCACTAAGCCAAAATGATAATACATTTAACCTCAGCCCCATTACAAGAGTTGAAAGACCTTTGTGATCTTAGGTGAGATGAAAGTCATGTTGGTTTGAAAATACAGGTAAGCCTATGGATAGAGTCATGCATGTGTTTATCTTTGAGAGTGTGAGAGTTGTTTTTGATTCCTAAATTCTAAATTGTTGATGAGTTTAGTGTGACATGGAATCATTCTTGGTGTGAGGGCATTTTAATGCTTTTGTTGAGCTTGAACTTGCATTTGAAGCAAGCATTGTGAGCTTAAGTTCTATTTAATCATGGTTAGTCACAATTTGAAATTTAAAGTGCACAATTACATTGCATGACTAGTTTGAACCTCTTCTGTGCATTCTTGTTGAGTCTTGAGTAGCACTGTTTGTAGACATCCATATTGTACCGATTGATCTTCAGTTTTACTTGAGGACAAGCAAAAGTTTAAGTTGGGGTATTGATGAGTCTGCGATTTCGACTCATTTAGGGCTTAGTAATCATACTTTTAGTGTCCTCATTGCCTATATTATGCTCTGAACTAATGTTTATGTGTTTATTTGTAACTAGTAAGACAAAAGAGCAAGGCAGGGACGTTACGGGCCAAAAAGGAGCAGAAAAGATGAAAAAGCTGACGATCGCCAAGATCATTCGGCGACTCGGCGAGTGGTACTTCAGTTCTCCAATAATTACATCATGCCAGTACTGGGGAAAATCCAACTTGGCGATGGTAATGGATCTTCAGTGAAATGCAAAATGGATCGGTGATAGGAATTCAGATCCCCTAAAGTTACAGGGTCTGAATGGTGAAGAGGCAAATAAAGATGGTGATGTATAAGGACACTCTGCGCATCGCCGAACTGGTCGGCAATCCTCGACTAATTCCGCCGATTGGCCCAAAAGCTGAAAATCTTGAAGAATATAAATGCAAATTTTTAAATGAGGAAAGAAGTTCTGAAATTTTGAGAAAATATTCTGAGTGTTTGAGAGTTCTAACTATGAGTTTTTTTTTATCCCAAACACTGTTTTGAGAGTTTTTTAGTAGAATTTTAAGTTGGGTTTTGATTTTAAGTTAATTTCAAGCATTGTGAAGACAAGAATCTTGTTTCCCAGCTGATGGAAAACATAGTTGGTAATATTTTCCTGCTTTTTATATTGTCTGGCTAAAACCCTCATTCTTGGGGGTGTGATTATGTGATTAACTATCTCAATTAGCTTATGGGTGTTAGTAATTACTGATTTAATTATTGTTTTGAAGTGGATTCGATTAATAACTGAGTTTTAATTCATGAATTGTAGTTGCAAATGCTGTTCTAGCCTAGTATTCTATGCTTTCTTGAGAAAGAGATTTTATATTTAAGGTTATCAATTGACTGTAGTGATTGGGTTATTGTGGGTTCAGCTTGAGAAAATTAATCCTAAATTAGATCCTACCAATCTAGCTTGAGAGAGTAGATTAATTGAGGTTTAGGGTTGTTTATAATTGTTATGCTTGTTGAGGTTCGAGAGAACTCGCTTGAATCATAATAGTTGATCGAGAGATGGATATTGCATCTAAAGTCTAGCCTACCTACTAAGGTTCAACGATATTCAGTAATTAGTAATCACCCGAATAGAGAAATTGTCAATCAATCGATCATATCCCCAAGGATCCCTATCTACTTGATTACTCCCCTATTTTGGTAAATGTTAATTGACAAATCCAATCCCCCCCATTATATACTAATTGTCAATCCCTTCGATTTACTTTACTTGTTTCGATGATTTCTATTCGTACCATCGATTAGAATATGACTTTCACTTCGTAATTAAATTATCTACTGTATCACTCCATATGGTATCGACCCCAACTCTTCGTTGGGTTTATACTACATTGTGATCGCCTACATTTAGAATTGGATGAAGTGTACGTTGTTGAACGTTATCAATATGACCCTATCCTTATTCGTTAAACTTTTCATAAGATTCACTACTTCTATCTGACTTAATGATTTTCAATTTCCTATCTAATTGTCTTTCAACCTCATTAACATACACTTTCAGAGCATTCGCTGCTTGACATTTTTGTTTCAACAAATAGATAAATCCATAACATGAAAAATCATCGATAAAGGTAATAAAAAAAATTTCTCCACCAAAAGATGGAACATCAAAGAGTCCGCAAATTTTAGTGTGTACAAGTTCAAGAAGTTGAGTACTCCTTGTGGCACCGTTCTTCGTATGTTTGGTTTGCTATTCTTTAATGCAATCCAAACATATGTCAAGATCAAAAAAATTAAGATTCAGAAGAATCTCATTCTTTACTATTATTTTTAATCTTTCTTTTGATACATGACCCAAACATTTATACCACAAATAAGCAGAACTTTCATTTAGTGAACTATGTTTTATTCCAATATTTTGATGAATCGTAAAAAGGGATTCAGAAAATTATTATCGAGTTTCAATCTCTATAAACCATCAATAAGAACACCAAAACCATAAAAAAAGTATTCTTGTATAAATTGAAACATCCATGTCCAAACTTAAAATCAAATCCAGAAACATCAACTCTTGAAAGAGAAATCAAATTCCTAGAAAATGAAGGAAAATAAAGAGTCTGTAATAGATCAAGGTGATGTCCAGTCTCTAAGATAAGCCTATAAGTCCCTATGCCTTCAATTTGAGCCTTTATATGATTTACCGAACAAGAAATCCTTATTTGAATTTGTAGTTTAGATCGTAGTGAATCCCTGCAACATAGTGGATACATAAGTAGTTGCACCAGAATCAAGCCACCAAGTATTATTAGAAGCTTCTACTAAATTTGATTTGAAACATACAAAGGCACTAAATGTACTTTTCTTTTCAAACCAAGCTTTATGTTCTGACAATCTTTCTGATAGTGTCCTTTTTTATAGAAACGACACACATCAGGCTTGAGTTCCTTATGAGCATCCTGTGAAACTTTAGCAGGTGCTTTCTTTTTCTTAAACTTGCTGGACATCACTTTAAGTCCTTTACCAGATCCTTAACCCATAAAGTTAATGGAATGACCTCCTTATGTCTTAAGTCTTGACTCCTCTTCAGTAAGCATTCTAGACAATTCACTAACATCCCACTTATCCTAAATAGTGTTATAGTTAATTTGGAATGGTCCATACTCAAGAGGCAACGAGTTAAGAATAAACTGAACCAACAAGTTGTTTGACTAAAAATATTATTACCTCATAATTTTCACAATTCGTAGAATGTAAGATCCTCCTTTTGGTAAATTCTTAAGTTCTAGCAATAGTGAAAGCCAATTTATCTATTTATATCTTCAATATAGAGATTTAATTAACTTTCATAGATAAATGACAAATTTATGAATGCATATTTTTCTTAACCATACTAGTTTGACCACTTTGGTGACTAACAAACTAATATAAATACAAATGCACACATAATATCATAAAATGTTGTGCATGTGAATAATTTTATACATTTTACTTTGTCCACTTTGGTGACTAACAAACTATAGAAACATAATGCATGCATCAAGTTATTATAAAAATTATATGTGTAAACGTTAATTTCTCTAGTTGTCCACTTTGGTGACTAACAAACTATAGAAACATAATGCATGCATCAAGTGATTATAAATATTATATGTGTAAACATTGATTTCTCTAGTTGTCCACTTTGGTGACTAACAAACTATATAAATACAAATGCACACATTAATTATTGTTTAGTATAATGATTTCACGTATCAGGACACTTCTTCCAATACTAAATGCCAATGATCGTTAGTCAGTAATATAACCCAACTAAGTGAGTTGTTGTTGAATCCCACAGGGAGTGGTACGTGCTTAAGATTGAAGAGCCAAGTGCAAATATGTTCAAGTCAATCATAGGTAAAGACATTTACGAATAAAAGTATATTTCAAATTAAGGGTGACACAAGTGTCAAATATGGGGGGTTTTGATTGTAATTAGCAACTACAACAATAACAAATAACACGAATTAACAAGTAAAGAGACGGGTTCTTGAGATGTGATTGGATTATGGGCTAAGGTAGATAAATGGGTGATTGCAAATGATAGTAAATAGCTGTAAATCAGTGAATAAGCTAGACTTTAATGGGGATAAACTTTTTCTCGAACAGTTTACCCCGAATCAAATTGGTTTCTCTTAAACACCAATAAGCAACAATTAAGAACAGCCTACGCTTTAGTCCATTCACTCTCTCGAGCTGAATATGTGGAAAATGGTTTAGGATTCACTCTCTCGAGCTGAACCCATGACAACCCAATACCCACAGACCATCAAATCAGTAATCTTCGTTTTAAAACCTCTCTTTCGAGCAAGCCAAAAATACGAAGTTTGAATTGCATTTGCAACTACAACCCTTTACATTAAACCACAATTACTGATCAAAATCACTTTTAAACAACATTTAAATTATCAATTAGCAATACCCAACAGCTAAATCGACCCATAATCATATAATCACACCCCAAGAATTGGGGTTTTAGTTAGACATCATAAAAAGATAGAAATCCTTACCAAATTGTGTTTCCATCAACTGGGTACGATTAATTTCGTCTTTACGAAAATCAAGGTTGAATAATCTCAAAAATCCACTTCCAATTTCTCAAAAATGGAAATCTTCAAATCTTCAAAGCTAAGGAAAATATTGTCTCAATACTCTCAGTTCTAAGTTCCAAACTTCAAAACTGAATAACAATAGAACTTGGATACTAAACTAAGAATTTTAAAATGTATTTATAGTCGCCAAAAATATGCTGTGAAGGACCACTCAGCGCAATAAGTCGGGATCGCCGATCCACTCGGCGATCCGCCCTTTGGTCAATTCCATCGCCTTTTTGCTTTGGTCTTCATCATCTTCAAGTTCTGTAACTTTGGGAGATCTGGCACTGCATCGTGCAACCGTTCGGTGACTCGTCGACTGCTCCTTTCTATTACCAACTCGTTTTGTTCCTTCAAGGCTTGGCACACTGGAACTTTAGGCAAGATCATGATTATTCGGCGACTCGCCCAATGGGTTAGGCGATCATCAAGCCCTCTTTTCTTCGTTCTTTCAACTGCCTTGTTCCTTTTTGCTCATTAGTGTCCATTCTTTGTTCCTCAATCCAAATACATGAAAATCAAGGATTTACATCAGTTATTGGCACAAAATATGCATTTGAGGACACTAAATCTATTAAAATAAAGTCCTAAATGAGTCCAAATCGTGGACTCATCAACACCCCCAACTTAAACTTTTGCTTGTCCTCAAGTAAAACTCAAGTTCACCAGCTCAAAAAGGATGTCTCAAACAGTGCTACACAAGACTCAATCATGAATGCACACAAAAAGACTCAACTTACTCATGCAATGATCAATTGTGCATTAAAAGATTGAAATTGTGACTCACCATTACCAAAGAATCTCAAGCTCACAATACTTGCTTTAAAAATGCAAGTTCAAGCCAACAAAGGTGTTCAAATGTCCTCACACAAAGGATGATTCCATATCCACACACAATAGTTCAAAAATTTAAAGCTCCGGAATCAAATGTAACACTCACACTCACAAAGATGAACACAATGCATGACAACACCCATAGGTTAGCCCGTATTTTCCAATCAACAATTGTTTCAGCTCACTCAAGATCAAAAAGGTCTTTCCAAGGCTTGTAACGGGGCTGAGTGCAAATGTATGGTCATTTAGGCTCACTAATTGTTATCCTCATGAAATGTGGTATGAACAACACTTTCTTCCCTCTCCTTTATCATTCTCATTCATGCTCAAAGGTCACCCCATTATTCACTTTCCATGGACATGTTGGATACCCCATTTTCTTTGAACTTTCACTACTTTATTCCACAACTTTTTCATTCTTTTTCTTTTCTTTTTCTCTTTTTTTTTAATGGAGGGGTTCCATATTTCTCAAAAGCATGGTTCAAGGGGAGTTCTTTGCGTTTCTTGATTTACCTCTCTTTTCACCACACTCCAACTTAGGCTTTTGGCCAAAGTTGGCTATTCACACAAACTACAAATCATGAGAATTATGGGTAATGGATAAAGAGAGGTCAAAATATCATCAAGTTTCTTCCAATAAATGGATAAGGCTCAAAGGATGTTCAAGCAAGGATCACACACTCAAAAGGTTGGCCACAAAAGAGGTATAATGTCAAATTGTTTCACACTCTTCAAAGTTGCCTAAGATCATTTCAAGAGATTGCATCACTTAGCCAACCGGACCAACGGGGTAAATTCTAGGTTTCATCACACATGGTTAACGGTAAGCTCATCACACAAAGCATTGACACCGATGACAAACAAGACTCAACATTTTCGCTAGTTTGCAATGTTCATCACAAGAGACTCAATTTGATACTTGGCTAGTTACAACGAGATGTAAAAAGTTCACATATTATCTATTCAACTTCATTTGGCCTCATCGTAACCGCACATTCATTTTTGTTTGATTATGGGGACTATTCAAGTCATCGGTATTGATCAACACCGATACTCAAATTTGCAAGAGAACAACAACATTCAAAAACAAACAAGAGTTGGCATAATTTTTTTCCGAAAGGGTCCAAAAATCATTTCAATTAAAACAAGGAGCCACAAGCTCAATAATCCACAAAAATAGTGCTAAACACAATTTATACCACAAAACCCAATGTACGAACAAAACATTAGTCACAAAAGGTGGGCCTCATCCCACCTAAAATAAAAACCATTTGTCCTCAAATGCAAGCAAAATAATATCCACAAGTCAAAAAGAATAAGACATAGAGGGAGGTAAAAAGGAATCATGTCTACTCAGTCGCTCCATCTGTCTGAGCATCAATGCCCGGTGTAGTGCTCGGGACCTGGGTATCAATGCCCGGAGTCACCTCACAAGGAGTAGCAGTTGAACAAGGGTCAGCCAAGGGTGTATCTGCCAAAGAAGCCTACATAGCTGCATTTACACCTCAGTCTCAGTAAGGCCTTCATACGAAGCCTCCTCAACAACCCCAAGCATCTTATCATACGTATCAACCTCGGACTTAGGATCATATGTCTCTTCAACTCTAATCTCATCTCTGGTGGTAGCCGGAGGCATTTCTGGAACATCAGGAATCTCCACCATCCTGAAAATCATGGACATGTTGGTGGATTTCAGCTGATCCACATCACTCCTCAGCGTAGCAACATTGGCCTTTAAAGTCGTCACCTCCTTGGTAGCCTCTTGGCCACACTCACACACTACTATCTTAGTTGCAAGGGAATCCATGGTAGCACTCAGCGGTGTCACAACATTGGCAAGGGGTTTTTAAATCATGCCCGAAATGGAGGCCTCAACTCTGGTAGCCCGACGATCGGCAGAATGGGCTAGCTACCTTATCCGGGGTAATGCAGCCTGAGTGAGTGGGGTTCGGGAAACAACAACAACAGCTCTGGGAGGCAATGTAGCAGTAGAGGAACTAGGGCAGTCAGAAGGAACAACACTAGATGTACCTGAAGGCCCAGGGGCCGGAGTAGGCAAAGATTCCTCTGTAGGTAATGAGTCTGTATCCACAACCGGGGATGTATCCACCGGGGTTGCCTTCTTCTTCTCTGCCTGATCCTTTAAATATTATGCCTCGATCTTCCATATAACAGTGGAAGAGGTGGGAATCACTTACACATCTTTCTTTACATATCTAGGAACCTGAGCTCGTCTGCATAGCTCAGTGATCAATACCGGAAAGGGGAGAAGGTCTGGCACTGCTTGGCCCTCATAACCATCTCCTGTGCCATAATTATTGATAACAGCAAGGTTAAGGGAGATCACAAATAGAGAATTGAATATTAGAATGTGGAAGCACAAAGAAAAGAAACAAAAAACTAACTAAAGATATGGGAAATTCGAAGGAAAGATCCATGAATTTCCAAGGATTAGATGTTCTAAGGCCTTGAAAAGATCCAAGTAACAACGTATAGATTTATGGAAGAAATCTAACGCCTTTACTTGAGAAAACGAATCAAAACGATAGATTCGGATCTTGACCGCTTTATGAGTAACTAAAGACAATAATTAGTATGTAGAAACTAATCACCTTCTAAAGAATACCAAAAAGAAACCAAAGATATCACAAGAGAAAGTTACTTTATACCTTAAACTATGAAACTAGTAAAGGTTTAAAGATAAATTCTCAAAGAACAAGTCACAAAGGTTCAAAGAACTCACTCCAATATTATTAATATCAATCTAAATTGTCTTTAATGAATGAAAAGGACTCCTATATATAGGAGAAGGGGAAAAAACGTCCAAGGAACCCTAGAAAGACAATTACAAGGAATCCTACTCTAGAAAGGAAATAAAGTAACCTAACTAGGAACAAATTTAGTACTTCTAGGAAAGCATTAAATGGTACTTAGGAGACCATAAATAGACTAAGGAAAATATTAATAACCTATATATAAATAAGGTAAATCCCAACTAGGAAAAGAATCTTGACAATCTTGGAAAGTTTGACTAGTCTTCTCTCAAAACTTGGGCAGAAAGCAACTCTTGTTGTGGCTGATTCTTGGACTCTTCTTGACCTTATTTGCACGAAATTGGCCCTTAAAATACCTCATCTTGGGCCACCAAATAATTGTAGCATTTGGACAATTCCTCTCCCTTGAGCTTGAGCTCTTCTTCCCCAATAAGACACATTTGGATCAGCGATTGAAGCCCATTGAGCTTATCATTGAACTCCTTGGTTTGAGATCTTGTTATGAGCCTCCTTGGAGTTTCTAAAGCTTCATCCTTGTCCTTCAATGGAGTAGAGCTTCCTTGGATGCTATCATTCCCCTCTTTTTGAAGAGAATTCGTCCTCGAATTCAAATCTGCATCAAAATGGGAAAGATCAGAAACATTAAAAGTAGCACTAACTTGGAACTCACCAGGAAGATCAAGTTTATAAGCATTGTCTCCAATCCTTTCAAGGACTTTGTATGGACCACTTCCTCTAGAATCTAGTTTGGTCTTTCTTTTGGAAGGAAGTCTTTCCTTTCTCATATGCACCCAAACCAAGTCACCAGGTTTAAAAACAACATATTTTCTGCCCTTATTCCTTCGCAATGCAACTTCCTTGTTCTTCTTTTCAATTGCAAGCCTTGTTTGTTCATGAATTTTCTTCATCATATCAGCCTTCTTCTTAGCATCAAGATTAGCAAAATCATTAGTAGGCAAAGGCAATAAATCAAGGGGGGGTAAGGGGGTTGAATCCATATACAACTTCAAAAGGAGTCTTACCAGTAGAAGAATGGAAGGTCCTATTATAAGCAAATTCTACAATAGGTAAGTAATCTTCCCAAGAAGTCAACTTTCCTTTCAAAACAGCCCTCAACATGTTCCCTAAAGTTCTATTAACCACTTCCGTTTGCCCGTCCGTTTGTGGGTGACAAGATGTAGAAAATAGCAATTTAGTTCCCAACTTTCCCCAAAGAATTCTCCAAAAGTGACTTAAGAACTTGGCATCCCTATCACTAACAATAGTTCTAGGTATTCCATGCAATTTAACCACTTCCATTACAAACAAGTCAGCCACATGAGATGCATCATTAGTCTTTTTACATGGGATAAAACGAGCCATTTTAGAAAATCTATCTACTACCACAAATATACTATCCTTACCATACTTAGTCCTTGGCAGTCTCAATATGAAATCCATAGAAATATCAATCCAAGGGGAATTAGAAACAAGTAAAGGAGTATAAAGACCATGCGGCAATGTTCTAGACTTAGCCTCTTTACATTCAAGACAATAAGAACACACTTTTTCAACATCCTTTCTCATGCTAGGCCAATAAAAATGTTCAGAAAGTATTTCCAGTGTTTTGGGTACACCAAAATGTCCCATTAGCCCTCCACAATGTGCTTCCCTAACAAATAGTTCACGCAACGACCAGTTAGGAACACATAATTTATTTTCCTTGAATAGAAATTCATCTTGAAGATTAAATTTCTCAAAAGGACCTAACTTACATTCAGCAAAAATCTTACAAAAATCAAAATCATTAGCATAGAGGAACTTGATTTGGTCAAAACCCAATAACTTTGAAGTAAGAGTAGAGATCAAAACATACCTTCTTGAGAGTGCATCAGCAAGCACATTCTCCTTTCCTTGTTTGTAAGCAATTACATAAGGAAAAGTTTCAATAAACTCTACCCATTTAGCATGCCTACGACTAAGTTTACCCTGGCTCTTCAAGTATTTTAATGACTCATGATCAGTGACCACAAATTCTCGAGGCCACAAGTAGTGCTGCCATGTAGCTAACGCCCTTACCAAGGCATATAGCTCCTTATCATAAGTTGAGTAGTTCAATGTTGCTCCACTTAGATTTTCACTAAAGTAGGCAATTGGCTTGGAGTCTTGCATCAAAACTGCACCTATGCCCTTACCAGAGGCATCACACTCAACTTCAAAAGACTTAGAAAAATCAGGCAATTGCAAAAGAGGAGCATAACACAATTTATCCTTCAGCAAGTTAAATGCATCCTCTTGTTCCTTTCCCCATGTAAAAACCTTATCTTTTTTAATAACTTCAGTTAAAGGAGCAACAATGGTGCTAAATTCTCGCACAAACCTCCTATAAAAACTAGCAAGTCCATTTTACACTATTAGGTTTAGGCCATTCTTTTATTGCCTTGATTTTCTCATCATCTACTTCAACTCCCTTAGAACTGACCACAAAACCTAAGAAAACCACACGATCCACACAGAAAGTACACTTTTTGAGATTAGCAAATAAGCGCTGGTTTCTAAGAACTTCAAAAACTTGTTTTAAGTGCTCTAGGTGTTCATCCAGATTTTGAGAAAAGATTAAGATGTCATCAAAATACACCCCAATAAATTTTCCATGGAAATCTTTAAAAACATGATTCATTAGTCTCATAAAAGTGCTTGGTGCATTAGTCAAGCCAAAGGGCATAACTAACCACTCACAAAATCCATATTTGGTCTTAAAAGCAGTTTTCCATTCATCTCCAGGATTCATACGAATCTGATGGTAACCACTCTTTAGATCAATTTTAGAAAAGATTTTGGAACCATACAGTTGGTCCAACATGTCATCAAGACGAGGGATAGGATGGCGATACTTTACCGTTATCTTATTGATGGCTCGACAATCTACACATATCCTCCATGTTCCATCCTTTTTGGGGACCAATAGGACTGGAACAGAGCATGGGCTCATACTCTCTTGAACAAATCCCTTTTCAAGCAATTCTTCAACTTGCCTTTGTAATTCTTTGGTCTCTTCAGGATTGCTCCTATAGGCAGGTCTATTAGGAAGTTGAGACCCAGGCACAAAGTCTATTTGGTGCTCAATCCCTCTCAAAGGTGGCAATCCCTTTGGAGTGTTATCAGGAAAAACATCTTCAAAATTCTGCAAAAGAGAAGAAACACTATTTGGCGAAGAAGGAGTTAGTTGTTCAAAATTAATCAATACTTCTTTGTAAGTAAGTAGTATTATGGGCAGTCCCTCTCTCCTAGCATTCAAACACTCTTTGGCTTTTATATAAAGGCTCTCATTTTTCTTTTCCTTAGCCTCTTTCCTCTTACCAAAACATTTTATTTTTTTACTCACACCCTCTTTTACCTCTTTACTTAGATCGCTGCCCTCTCCCTCTTTCTCTCGGCCATCTCTCTTTTTTTCTATCTCTTGGCCTTTTTCTTTTCCCTCAAGCTCACTTTTTACCTCTCCCTTTTGTTTTCCCATTGTTTCCCTCAATCGTTTTTGATCTTCAAACACTTGAGAAGGCGATTATGGTGGAAGAATATACTTCTTGCCATTATGCAGAAGACTATACCTATTCTTTCTCCCATGATGAGTAGTATCCCTATCATACTGCCAAGGTCGGCCAAGTAAAACATGACATGCTTGCATTGGAACTACATCACAAAGAATTTCATCTTCATACCTACCAACATTGAATGAAATCATGCATTGTTTGTTTACTTTTACTTCTCCACAATCATTCAACCATTGGAGCCTATATGGGGTAGAGCGCTTCATGCATGCAATTCCTAGTTTATCCACCAAGTATGAACTCACCACATTTGCACAACTTCCCCCCATCAATAATCATAGAATAAGTCTTCCCTTTTATCCCACACCTAGTATGAAACAAATTCTCTCTTTGCCCTTCATCAACACTACCCAAGTTGATAGTCATAATTCTCCTAACCACCCCAATTATACCATCATTAGGCAATTCCCAATCATTTTCCTCACTTACACCTTCTCCCTCTTCTT